TGAGTGCTGCCTTGCAGTAGGAACTGTAGGCTTGATAAAGTAAATTAGTGTAAATTAAATTAGTAATTATAATACTTGATAAAATAAACAAAATTAATAATAAACATGCAGGTTCCACCAGAGTGCATGAAAAAAGATCAGACTCTTAAAATTTTCTAAGATGAATTTGGGGTTGATATTTTTGTTTTGATTTGATTTTAATTGAAAGTAATTAGCTCACATATAAGAAAGCTACTTTTTTCCCTAGTTCAGCTCTAGAGCTCATTCATATCAGACCTAAATTCTACCTGTGTACAAATGGTCACTGAGTTTGAGTGTTCTCTGAGCTGGCCAGATGTCAGGGAACATCTGTGTGATGTCATGTTGTGTTGCAGCGTAGTGCCTGGCAAGGGAAGAGCAGATCATTACACATAGAGGGAGAGAAAAGGGTAGGACAACATTTTCCACAATTATGCAAACTTAGATTGCCTTCAGGTGCTTGTGAAACCACAGATACAGGCTTTAGGTATTTTGAGGGAGAAGCTTTCCTCTATTTTTAGATGAAATAGCATTGCAACTCCAGTCAAGTGGTCTTGCTACAGAACACTGCTATATTTAGAAATCGCTCATCTCCTTAATGCAAGAACAATATCTTATAAAAAAGGTCACATTGCACTTCTCCATTCTGTTAGTACTGTGAGTTTTGTGCTAGAGCACTTTATTCCTCTTTATTCCACTTTATTCCTCTTAATTACAACACACATAAATGTACATCTTCACTATGTAAGTGTGGCCTCCATTTCCATTAATATTTGTCTCAAGTGGACCTATAAATATTATTTCACTGATTTTAAGAAGTAATCATTAGCTCTGAGCTCCTTCAGAGGCTCTGAATCGCAGATAAGGAAATGCATACAGGTACATGAAATTAGAATTCATATTGGTAAATAAAATTAATGCCCTGTCTTGTCCTCCCCACTCCTTTTCAAGGAATCCATTCACTCATTAGGATTGGATTGGAGGGTTAATGACGGTGGATTTCCAGCATGCAATCTGCACATTAGCAAGCACTGCGAGACTCACGTTTCTGAGGGGAAAGCACTCTTGCAACACACTTTCACATCTCATTTTCATAGGTTTAAATAAAGAACCAATTCATAAAAAGACATACCTCATTGTAAAGCAGTGTGGAGCAAAGTCAGGCATGGATAACTGGGACACAGGATAAGGACTCTTAAAGCACTGAGACCAGTAAAATAAGGGTAGGGTTATCTGGGATCATGTCCTGCTTCATTGCATGTGCCTGTGAACTTCATTGGTCAGCTCTGGATACACATGTGCTGGTGGGGAGAGGAATCTGTTGTTTACCAACCTTTGGCTTTGGAATTTGATTATGCATAGGTGTTCCCCAAGGTAGATGGTCTATCAATGTTTTCATCTGTTCAGGAGTTGCAAATTACTGTTTTTCCTTTCAAATTTCTACTTCCTTCTCATTTGCATGGATATTTGCTTTGAGTGAGCAAAGGCTATGTGTATGGTGTCAGAAATTAAACTCTGAACTGAGTAGAAATATATTATAGAACACACTGAAACATGTCCTGGTGGTCTTTATGCCTTTAAAAAGCTAATCTGAAATGAACACAGAAATGTCAGGAGATAAGAAACACCTATCGGCGTGAGGATATGTAAGCACTTTGGATATGCAGAAAATAATTTGGCACGAGGTTTAGACATTTCAAATGTCAGGGTTGAGCTCTGTGAGTACTGTAACCTTGTTCCTTCTTCACAATGGCACACATGAACGGCCAAAAAGAAATCTAAATTTTAAAAATATAACTTTTTTGTGTGACAAAGAATTAAATTAATTAAAGTGAGGGGAAATTCGTCCTGAATGTCATATGTTGCCCGTCTTTGCAGTGTTCCAAGCTGTGCTTAGCCTGTGCTGCAACATAATATACACAGTGGCCTTGCACAGAGCAGGTGGGATCCACAGCCCTCCACACGGGCAAACCAGGCAGCGTTGGCAACAGTTCTCCTGGTATTTGTCATTTGGGCTGTGAGAAGACAGATTTGCTGTAACGCTTTCAGGTGTACAGTAACAGGAACAGATTGGTTACTGGTTTGAATGATTTTAGTGGTGCATCCAACGCAAATAAAGCAATTTAGCAAACAATCTGTGAGTAAAAGGATTCAGAGCTTTGCATCAGCAGTTTGTGGATCTAATTGCTTGGCAGGGCTCTACTTAAAAGCAACGTTATAGGTATAGATATTTACTTCATATTCCCTGTCTGGAGTAGTTTGAAAAATTTGTCAGAGCAGCAGAATAATGGCATTGTTCTGCAATTATTTGATTTTAAAACTATAGACAAATATTCTGTTTGTAGGAATAAACAGTTTGGTATTCAGTAGTTCATCTAGAATATGAAATTGGTCTGAAGGAGGACCACTCCCAAACTGAGCTTATGTCTCTAAGCAACTTGAATTGTAACATGTAATTTAGAAGCACTTTAAAAATCTAATTCATGTGAGCCAGTCCATCATTATATACTCAGTGTCATATGTGTGCCAGAAGCTCGGTAGACCAGTAAGGGAAATGATTCACTTGATTTTCTTATATAGGTGATTAGATTATTGATGCTAGTAATTGCATAGGCTCTGTCTGCGTTGCCCTGTGTAATATTAGGATGCTGCCCCACCCAGTTTACTGTCCTAGCTTGGAGCTGGCAGCTCCTAGTGCCACCTCCCCTGGAAGGAAGTCTGTGACTTAATCTGTGTATGGTAAAAGATTCCCAGTGTCACAGCTTAGCAAAGGCTTTCTAAATCAGCACTGGCATGAGAAGATTGCTGCTTGGCTGGTCTGGCATGACCAACACCTAGTTCCAGAACAACGTCAGGAAATTAAAGGAGGTCAGAGCAAGCCAAGAATAGCAAGCTGCGCTCAGGGGCTTTGCAGGGGGAAGCATTCTTGGCTGAGGTATGGTGTTTTCTGGGAGGATTTTAGCAAGGAACTGCACACCTGTGACATGATGCTGCATGTAGTGGGGAGTACGGGGAGGAGATCTCATTGTCTAGTGAGTGGTACTGGAGAACCTGATTTGTCATAATTTCCCTTTTAGGCAGTGGTATATGTCAGGCAGCCTCTGGAGTTGCCAGCCTCGTTCCTAGTCTCTGACTCAGTCATTCAGTATTCTTGGAGCTTGACTTCATTCCTGCAAGATCGGTGTTTCTGTAATTGTCAGAAGGGTAGGATGAGAAGTGGGGAGGGAGAGAGAGGAGCCTGGAGCCTGCAGTCTGCAGTGCCAACTGTGGGGCTTCTATGGCAGATGGTATTTCCCCCTCTGAGGTCAGGACAGCATGTGGGATTCAGCAGTCCTGGCATGCCAGAGACACGTCGTGTGCATTTCGTGTCCCATGATGGGCACCATGATCGTTGGGAGGTGTCATTCCATCCTGTGCTGTGGTCTGTGTGATCATCGCAGGCAATTAATTCGTGGATATCAGCTCCTGATTTAGAATGGTGTTAAAATGCATGCGTAACTTTAAATGTGGCTGCTCAGTTAGTTTCTTTGGGCCCTATGAGAGGCTTTGTTTGCTTTTCTGAAGAAATATCAAAAATTTAAAGTGTATGGTAGAAAGCAGCAAAATATCAGTGAGATCCAGAATGATTTTTCTGCAGGTGTCGTTTTCATCCACAGAGCTACTGTTACACACAGCTGAGAAGTGAATTAGGCTGGGAAAGGGGTTGTTAGCTGAGAAACGTCTGTAGTCCCATGATTTGTTTCAGAAGAGGACTGAAGTCAATAGACAGCAGCACTGAACTGGACACAGCATTCCTTACCTGCTCACAGGCTTTTTTGTCACTGATTCTCCTTCATCCTGGCTATAATAGGTACCCATTAAGACTATCCCATGCAATTAAATAAAGAGTCAGATGACATTCACTCACTACACAGACTCTGTGTGTGACCTTCCCAGTGCAAAGACAAAAGAAATCCAGGCACGCAGAGTATCCTCAGCTACAGCTAGGTTTGGTGCCGTTCCAAATTGTTTGGGACAGAAAAGGGTGAGGACAGACTGACACAATGACACAACCGCATGACCCGCATTTAGATCCTGTAACTGAGTGCTGTACCTGCAGAGGGGGAGCGAAGGGACCGTGCCTGTCACTGTCACTGATGTCACTGATTGAGAACAGCAGCTATGGGGAAATCCCTGCAACAGCTCTTCCGGCTCATACATCTGTACTTTCATTCCCCAGCTTCGCCTAGTTCTCCCCACAACAACCCTATTTACTCTCTTTGAGATGAATTTGCTGACTTTTCCTGCTACAACTAATACTCACCACTGCTCTTACCTATACAGCAGCAGAACACAGTGAATCACATACGTATTTTATCACTTTGGTATACAGTGAAATGGTAACCAGTCTAAAGAAATGCATTAAATTGTAATATAGTTAAGTATAACCCACACAAAATACTCAGAAGTGATTGCAACAGCCAACTGTAGTAAAAAAGGGAATAAAGTTTTTATACTCATGGATGATCATACTCTTGCTTATTGCAGGGTTTGTTTTACACTTACTCTGCACAGTACTAGGTTCCTATTCCAGGAAAAAGTAAGGGATCTTAAGCAAATACTATTCTAACCTATTTCTAAAGAATATGGTTATTTTGAAGTAGCATAGTCTTAAAAAATTAAGCAGAACTTTAAATAACTGTGATCTGCTCCTGTTTGCAAATGAGCTATCAAAACCCCCCTAGCTGCTTTTCAGTACAGTTTTTAGTGCTTTTACACTAAAACCCTAATGCCAGATAATCACATTTGTATGTATGTTCTGTATGTTCTACAAACTAATGATCTGTATGTTCCACAAACTAATTTTCTTACCACTTTGGTTCATTTCAGCAATTTAGTTGTCCTTAAACTAACTGTATTGAAAAATAAGAGCTTAATTGAAGAGAAGCTAAAATCTCTTCTTGTACCTTGCATTTTAGGCTCAAACCTTTTTTTACAGAGAGCTTCTCCCACTGCCTAGAAGGGAAATTTCTTCCCAGTTGCTCACCTAATTGTGCACCTTGTCTGCAATCAAAAAGTTTCACTGGCTCTGTAAGTCCATCCAGTGGCTGCAGATGGGAATTGCATATTTTTGAGGGTAAATTCCAATTTTGTACAGTTTAGCTTATTAAGTAGTGTAGTTAATGTTATTACTGGAAATAAACATGAACTGAAATGTGCAACTGGAATACTCCCAGCCTTTGCTGATAAGTAGAGCTGTATCTGTAAAGTACCCTTTGAGCAATACTGGGATTTGATTTGTTATTCCAGCAGCAGGGACAAGAGAAAAGTTGATGATTATTTATTTGTATTTAAATGAATCACCTCCTGGAGCGAGGAACAGAAACCTACTGAGTGAAAAGTTTTAGCTTATTTTCCTGAGACAACTGAGGTCATTGTGAATGCCAGGCTAGCTCTTGTGAGTCATCCTCTTGGATCTCATGCTTGTGTTTATATTAAAGCAAACCTCTGTGAAGTTACATCTTCTCATTATTAAGCGTGTTTTTTTGTCAAGTGGCACGAGATACAACAAAAAGTCATTAAGAAACTGAATGTAAAGAGGGCAAGATCTGAACAGTGTGCACCAGGAGTCACATTAAGAATTTATATACAGACTATTTCCAGAAAATCCTGCTTAAGTTCAGTACTGAATCTTGATAGGTCATCAGACTAAATCAGGCCAGCTGATTGTTTGAGAATCTATGATTAGATGTAGCATTTTGCCTGGATGATGACAGCAATTTGAGCCTCAGTGCCTTGAGCCCTAATTCTGACATTATTTCCATTATTGCTACCAGTGCTGGAGTTGTAACTGGAGAGAATATCAATGGAATACTTTTACCAGTTAGAGAAAGGCCAATTGCTAAAAGCCTTTTAATTCTCTGTTCTTGGCAAATAAGGGCTTCTAAAATGTTCACTGTCATTACTAGCTTTTTTCTTCCCATGGAAGTAAATGCATCTTTAATTTTGCCTTCTAGAGTGAATACATTATGATATAGCTTACAATTACATGATAGCCTATAATTTGCCCAGCCCTGCTTCAGTTAGTGCATAGGTTGTGGAGGCATAAAAAGGCATAAAGGGGGAATGATTTTTGTAACACCAGCCTAAATCTAGCACTTTTTAAAAAAATTAAGAGCTTTATTTTTCTATATATATTAATAAATTTTACCTTAGAAAGTTGCAGAAGTGTGTCTAAGATACTGTCATGGCAGGTACTTTGTGCATGTAGAAATAGGCACATAGTACCTATTGCGTGCTGTGGCACAACAGTTGCCTTTATAATTCTTTCCAGTGTTTTATGCATTTCAGATCTTCATTGTTTTCGGTCTAGAATTGCCACTACTGAGGTTGCCATGGTTGTAAACTCTAGCAGTTTCTCCCCCAACAAGATATCTGGTTTTAGTAATAGAGTTTTAAATTGGAATATTACAATTCCTTCTTGCTGCAATGATTATTATAAAATAGATAATGTCAGTGTGTTGTGGATATAATGCAGCTCAATTAATCTGCTACAGAAACTCTGCTTTCAGGTTTAAATTTCTTTTATTTGTTTTTAACCAGGGCCGCAGTAAATACATACCTTATTTGTTAGCCTAAGTACTCCCCAGACCTGAAAACATAGGGCCTGAAAACATGGAACTTTAGGTTAAATTAAGATGGATTCAGAAAATGAATGCAGAAAGCATTTAACTCATCTCTGGAACCACTAGAGCAGTTTTTTTCATGGTTCCCGCTTTATGAAGTTGGCTGATATCTTATGAATTCACTTTCCTCTGTCAGGATGTAGAGCTGGGTGATACAGAACCACCGAATGAGCTCCTAACTCTCCCTTCTCTCTAAGCTGTGAGTCTCAGCGTATTTTTAGTTGGAGCACAACATGGGTTTCCCTACTGTGTGCTTGGTCAATCTTCAAAAGCTGTTGTTATAACACTGCCTTTGTCCTCTCTTTCCTTCCGAGTACAGCCGGAGGATCACTCGGTTATTTTATTTTACTTGCATTTGCCAGTGCTAGGATTTTATTATTCATGTGTCAGCTATGACTGTATCATTTACCTGAACCAGAAAGACTCCACTTCTTATTACATTACAATAGCTACAAATCTTTCCAGAGGCATCCAATATATTATTTTGGTTTTGTTTGTTCCCTTAAATACATAGGAAACTGTTTTCCTCTAGTGATTTATTATTCTCCATGGTGGTCACAGAATTGAGTTCACAGGTCAGCACAAACATTCCAGGCATACGTTAGTCTGTCATAATTATGACTTTCAGTTTGTTCTTTGCTTATGAATAAATATAAAATATGCCATTTATATTTCTTAGGCCAGATTTCCTTTCATCTTTTTCTAAACCAAGCACTCCTAATCTTTTAAATCTTCTGCTGTGCACAATAGAGCCCAATTTAGTAAGGATTGTCAAATGTCATTGCAAAACTGTGTTATGCAAAATCCATGTTGCAAAACCATTCTGTCATTTAGTGGTGTCTTTCAAATTCTAAAATAATTTTTAAAAAGTCTAGGCAGGGTTTGTGATGTTATGTTCCATATTCCCAGAGATCTGTTTCAATTATATTTTCACAGAGCTGAATGTTTTGTTATGAGGTTAGAAGTTAGTTTTGAAAAATTTGCTTCAAGAATATTTACAGTCCATCTGTTTACGAGCGAAGCACAGACTGAAGAGACAGCATAGCACAGATGAGTCATAAACTGGTTCTTAATTATTTCACTACCAAGTGGTGTGTTTGCTCCTCTGTGGTCCCAGTCTTCCCTTGAATTAATCTTTTGACAAAACTAGAAGGCTTTTGGTTACCTACTCAGTCCTGAGAACTGTCCGCTGTCCCATAATTCTGCCTTCGGAAATTAATAACTGACAACTGTTTGGTGAAAGATTAAACAACAGATGATTTTCGTGTTCTTGTAATTTCTATACAGTTTCTTAATTTTCCTGTAGTAAAAAAAATCCAAATAGCAAAGACTGTCAGTCATGTCACCCTTCTCATTTTAGAAGTGTGTACTTCAGGATCACAAAATGGTTTGGATGTTTACATAACTGGTTCTTTTTGCATCCCTGCTCTGAGGAGGGTACCACAATATGCTCATTTTACAGTTGAAGGAAGTGTGGCAGAGAGCAATGACTTGATTCAGGGCACACATCAACAGTGGTGTAAGCTCAGTCATCCCAGTTCCCACTTACAGTGAACGCTACTTCATTCTTCACACCATAAAACCAAAAACTTAAAAAAAAATAGAATTTTTTTTTTTTTAAATGCTTGGGACAGGATTTTCAGACCCTGACTTTTGGCACCCAGATGCAATCTACACCTTATCATAATGCTTTAGTAGCATTTTTTGTAGGTAACTCCGTGCCTTTCAGAGAGCACCTGGATACAGATAGAAACCAAAGGAACTAAGCTAGCTTTGAAGCAGAAGGGCTGATTGCAGTGGAAAGGAGTGGGATTATTTTAACTAAGCAGTGTTTTAACATAGTGAACAATTTAGAAAAATCTTATTCCAACAAAGTGCAAAACCAACCCAGTGGCATTTAATTTATTGTTGTTACAAGCCCCAGTTTACCTCTGAAGAGGTGTTAAGAGTTCTGTTCTGCCAAGCCCATTTAAGAACAGGCTTTTATTCAACATGAATAATACTGAACTCTTTTATAATAAGATTAGAAAATTATTCTATTTTTATGTGATTGAAATAAATTAATAAAGCAAACCAGCACTGTTTGTGCACAAACCAAATGTTCTTCGCATCTCTGAAGTGAGTCTCAAGTTCCTTGTATCTTGTCAGCCTCACTTTCGAATAGTGTTGTTTTTCTGGGTAGTATTTAGCAGGCAGCTCCTGTAGTTTTTGCTACGTGGTAAATGTTTTTGTCCAGGACATTCCCAACCGTGACTGGAGTGTGGGTGCTGACGTCAGGCAGCTCCTTGTCAGCGTACAAGGGATCCACATTGGCTGTTGTGCATTCGTTCGGTAGGTCACCCGTGTGGAGAGTAAATGGAAGGAAACTGTAAATTACAGGGTTATAAATACATGAAGAGTCTCTTGAGCAAAGATTGAGTGGTTTCTGATGTCAGCAGAACCCTGAGATGAATTTAGTGTCCTGCTTGGTTTTGCTGTTTCTCTATTCCCTGTGAAGCAGGGCTCCTTTATAAAGAGAAATAGAGCCAATCATATTTAATGGAGAAATCAAACTTAGACACTTAAAAGATAACCATAAACATGTACAGGATGTCTTGTTCTGTCGTGGCCACAGACAGCTGCATAAAACTGTGTCCCGTGGATGTAGCTAAAATGGGAACCTCTTCAACATAATGCATTTCATTTCCTGGCTGTAATGCTGCTGTAAGTGGATATTACAAAGAACAATCTTGGACTTCAAAATACTGTTGGTATTGAAATATAAAACCAGAAAACATGTTAGTACAGTACAGATTTAAGCAGGCAGGTTAGGAAGGTAATTAATATATATCATGTAATAAGGAATAACAGGATTATCTATTTTCATGGCAATGCAACAGAAAATAATTCAAAAGACTAAGAATCTAAGATTTTCATATGGTCAGTGGTAACCAAGGAGGAATAGTCTCAGTCAATGGTATTCAGAAAAAAAGGAACTGAACCAAATTGTTCCTGAAAAATTACCCATGGGCTTCAGTAATAAAAAATGGTATATTTTGCAAATTGCCAAATTTTGCAAAGTGCAGATTACTCTGAAACCAATAGGCAGAATCAGTGTGGCAATGCCCAACTGTGTTTGCTTCTGACCCAGAGAAGGAAGAGTTGTGGCCTGAATGAAAAACACAAAATAACAGCATGTCCTGTGGATGGGTCAAAGCTTTCAGGCTTAAATTCAGTCACAGCAAATAATAACCTTGTTTCTCTAGAAATACCTGTTTTTCACATTGTGCAGCATAGTAATCCTAAGAAATGAGTTGTGATCATTTTGAAGGATGTTGCATATTTCCTATGGTTAGTCTGAAGGAGCTTTGTGGCATTGCTAAAATTATCAGAGAGTATTTATTTTAAATAATACAATAATCTATCAAAATCCCATAACGTGTTCTTACCTCAAATCTGAAAAATTAAATAAGGATAACTAACATTATGAGGATGTGATTATTCTGTGCCACCATCCTTCCCTAGCCTTTGTGAAGTTCTGAGAAACGACAAAATATTTGGTAATACTGTTATTAAAATATATTGCCCAGGCAAAAATCAGAGGCACTGTGGCTCAGCTGTGATTTCCAGATGTGCATGGAAGTAAACTACAGGTTGTGGGATAATTTGAGATGTTTTCTTTATGTCAGATTCTCTGTGGTGGCAACAAATATGCTCACTAGATTTCAGGCTAAAATGTGGATTAGTACTAAAAGTAATTCTGTGTGACTACACAGTCCCTTCTTCTGACACTAAATTTATCTCAGGCCTTAAGGAAGTCTACAGGCATTGAGAATTATATTGAACATATTCCATGTGTGCAAAAGAGAAGCATTTCAGCCTCAGATGGGATATAACTTTTAATATTTCCACTGGTACCCTAGACAATAGTTCTATAAAATTTCTCATAGTTTAATAAAACTTCTTATTCTAAATGCAGGTGTTTTCTTAGAGAAATCCTGAAGGCAAAAATACCACTCCTTTCCCTTCGGAAATCTACGATGATAACTCACAGAATAGAACAATAAATCAGTTATAGCCAGGAAATGTTCCAGTTGGAAAAAGGGAAAAAGCCTACAAAATACAGATTTGATGTTGCTTTCCAGATTCATGCGAAAACTTTACAGAACACACGGCTGCATTGTCATACTGTGCTTAAAACTGGCAGCCCCACGTGGCATTGGACACAGTCTTATCACTGGGTCCAGAGAACCCTCAAACACTTTGGCTCACCTCTAGGAAAATCTTTCTACACTTGGACTTTCCCCCCCCACACACACTATGTTGCTTTTAAAAAACACTATGTTAATAATATTTCTGGAATTAGGCACATTTCAGAGAAATGCACTGTATTGTATGGAGTAACAATGCCCAGAAATTTATCTGTCTTAAGTATTTCATCGTATATATTAGGGTGATATTTTAAAATATAGGTATTGGTGACATAATTGAAGTTATTTGACTGCAGGAATACAGGAATAAGTGTACAAAAAGAAACTCCTAAAAACTTCGGAGTAGACCAAATTCTTACATGTGTAGTATCTAAAAACAAATGATACTAATTATAGCAGCAGAAGGTACTTACAAGTGTAGATGAACACACCTATTTTTTTTCTCTTTCATTTCAGCACATTTGGGAAGATCTGTGATGGAACATGCCTGCCACTTTCACTGTTAATGGAAAGCAATGAAAAATCTGACAGGATCACTTACAATAAGGTGTGATTTCCTGCTGGAATAAGATCTGGAGGCCAAAGGGGAGGTGAGTACTTTATTAAGCTTATTTATTAAGCTTATTTATTAAGCTTAGCAAATGCTTTAACCAGTAAGTTACCAAGTATTGCAAACTGGGAAACACTGTGAATCCTCTGTCTTATTTTTTATGAGGAGGGGCTGATGGGACAGCAGAGGAGAGCCAGTAGCTGAGAATCCTTAATAAGGATAAGCCCCTAATTGTCTCTGGTGGGGACATGTATTAGATCCTCTCCTTTTTTGTTTGTCATCTTTTACTGATGGCTTTGTCCGTTAAGTTTCCTGGTTTGAACTCCTGAATTTCCTCTGTTTTATGGGGACTGTGGGCACCTTCTCTCAAGAAAGTGAATTTTATTACAACACACACATCCATGATGGAAGTAAGCCAAGTTAATGTTTTTCTACTCTAGAAGTGACTTGAGTTTTTCCAGCAAAATAAAATGCCAATGTTCTTTGTGTTCATTCAGAAAGCAAAAATGAGGCTTTTTAAAAAGATGTGAGAATTTGTGCAGAGCTCTGCTGCAAACTAAAGGAATGTGACAAGTTTTAAGCCCTGGTGTCATCTGAGATGGCAGACTATAGTATTGTAGAGTTTGCTGCCAAATCCTAATCTAATCAAGGCAGATACATTTCCTTTAGCCAAATAGTTTCCAATCATGTCAGAGAAAAATTCAACGAAGCTGTGAAGGAGATTGTGATCTGCCTAGGAAAACAAAGTAGTTCTTAATCTGGATAATATGTTATTACTTTGTTGTAAAAGGTTAGATTCAGACTGAGTGCTGTTTTAGTAGTTGCTGATTAGTGATGCATTATTATGGGAAGTAATTAATAGCTTACTGGACTGACAAAATAATGTCTATGCACAGTCAAAGTGGGAATTCAGAAGCATGGCAGATTAGATTTCCAATGAAAATCTGTCATTTTAAATCATTATAAACTAAAGTTGTTTCACTTCCCATTGGAGTAGAATAGGTTCAATTGGAAATACTGTGAAATCACTTCATCAGAAACAAACAAATGACATATTGTCTTTCTTAGGCTGCCAAATTTGTGAAATAAAACAATGTTTTTTTCTAGGTTTCTCTGGTACCTAGTTTACATAGCTGTTTTGTGGGTAAATTAATAATTTTTAACTGCATTAAATATGAACAGTTACGCACAAATAGTAATACCAATAGTAATTAACATGGAAGGACTTAGATCACTTATTTTAGAAGAGGTTTTTAATGCCTTTGTTATTTAGAGTGACTCATGATTTAACTTCAAGTTTTGGGCCCAGTCTTCACATGCTTTACGTCTGAGCTTGCTGGAGTGGTCACAGCCCAATTTCACATCCATGTTGCTTGAAAAGACCATTAAGACACTCAAGGATAAACATATGCAATGGTAATTAAGTAATCAGATGCCCCTACATTGCTTTGAATGCCCTACTACATCAGGAACAGAGCAGACGAAACGGGGCTTAGGTTTTTTTCTGAAACACCTGTTCTCTCTCCATTGTCCTTTCTACCTTCCCTGTCTCCTCTGCTTTCTACCAGGAGCTGCTGGATCCCATGAGATGGCACTGTGCCATAGCAGGGTGTTGGGACATTTAGCTCTACAGCTGCAGGTTTATAGCATGGATAAGATCCCTTTCTAAACTCTAGAGATTTGTTCAAATTCCAGTTTCCTTATGCCACAAATATCCTGCCTTTCAGGCTGTCGTCAGTTGGGAATTGTGGGTGATTCCTGCTAGGGGCCATGGGGGAATTCCAGTGTAGAAAGGGATCAAGTTATTAAAAAGTTTGGGAAAAATGTTTACCCCAAGCTCCCTCCATTAAACTGTTAGGTGAAGGGTCCTCTTTGGAGTGTCTCTGAGGAACACAGTTAATCACTTAAAAAGGGCTTTAAAATATTCAATTCATATGTTCTTGGCCTATCTTCAAATCCTAATATATAAGGCAAAGGTTAGGGGGTTTTTTTATTAACTATAAAAAGGTTAAACAATTTAGGAGGTGTGTCCTTCAAGTAACTTTTATCCAGACCAGCAGACACAGAGAGGAAATGCCTTGTCAAGGCACAGCCACCTGAGACCCACTGGGCTATTAAGACCAAGTTAATTGGTTCAGGGGCAGGGTGATACAAGCAGTGAAGAGGCTGCAAGGTCAGCATCCCTCCCTCCCCAAAAAGAGACAGAAAGAGCAAAATCCTTCCTGTTGTGGAGCTGCTTTGCAGGGAGGAGAGCAGGAGGAGAGCTCTTACTTTCTGGAACAGGAAGCAACCTCTGCAGCTGTGAAACCTGAGAGAACAATGGAGATTGTGGAGACAAGCAGTTATGGGGGGCTGCTCTTGGCTCTCTGAGGCTTGATGCCAGAGAGGTCCCACAGCAGCAATCTTTTCTTTGTAATAAATTCTAAACTCCTCCTGACCTTATTGCTGTGCTCTGGGCTGAAATGCATGGGAACAACTGACGGGAGGTAGCCCAGGTCTTGAAATTGTGGATGCTTACTGAATGCCACTAGAACATTGGTTCTGGGCCAGACCAAAATGCAACTGAAAGCATTTATTTATACTTCAGTATCACTTTGAAGCATTTGTTCAATTTAAGGTCCTTGCTTTTTATTCCAGGTTCTATGGAGAACGTGTCTAGTCATTACAGACCATTCTTCTCCACTGTGTTGTAAACTACTTCTATCCATGTAAATGCTAAGGCTGTAGTTCTTCCAACTTTATGGATATGCCTAAAATCTATTCATGTGAACATTCACATGGTTTTTTTTTTTATAATGTGTGCAATAGGCATGTGTATAACTTGCAAAAATCAGAATAGAATTATTACTTTGTCCTCAGAGGATCAAAACCATTTGAAATGTGTACTATTTGCCAAATGAGACATAAGATCCTGATTTACACCACCAGTTTTCTGTACATCACAAGACCAAATCCATTTAAACAATACAGTAAAATAGTATTATTCCCTGTAACATAGAACAGTGGCCTTTGATAGTAAATAGCCCACAACTGTTGGATTAATATATGTAAGTATTTATAATACATGTTTTAAATTATATACTGAGATGGACTGTGCATTTTTTATACGTATATATGTGTGTGAGTTTATAGTCTTGGACTGTAGCCAAGACTATGTAAGAAATATTGTGTGTGTAGAAGCTCTGAATGGCCTCCTTCACGAACATCATCGTGCAGGCATTTTCCCTGTTTAATATTTCCCACCCCTCAATGCTCTTTCTTTTAGTTAACTGCATTTCTGGCTCATGTCGCACTAGAATATATTCCCTCCACTGCCTGACATCTACTAGGATTCATTTTAAATGAGGTACTCACTATCCTTATCTAATGAAGGATAGTACTTTGGCCAGTGCAATTTAAGGATTGGGTTGAAATTCAAATTTTATAAATGGGTTCTTTTAAAAACTATTTGATGTTTAAGGACACTGAAAAAGAACTTTGTTACACGAGTGGCTGTTAGATGTTTGGACACCGTCACAAGAGGAGTGATTGTTACAAACTGAAGAAATAATCTCTGTTCTTTCTAGTTGGGTTATATTTAAAGCCTGGAAAATTTTGACAAAAGAGGAAGATGAAAGCTAAGGTCAGTGATAGATTCAGTCTTGAAATAGTTGAAATGTGTCTTGTGGGATGGGTTTTTTTTTATATTGACTGCATGTCAGCTCTGTATTAGGTGTGAGCCTGACAGTGACAGAGAGGATGACTACCATAATTTACCTGCTTTTATAAAAACCAGATATTGCTGGGTTAGCCGTGCATGGGTGGTGTTATTTTGTAATTTGGGTGCTTGTCACACAGCCTGATTCAAGGCACTCCATGGCAAGTGCCTGTGTTGGTTGATTAGCCTTCCTGGAATCCTCAAAATTTGTTAGGAGATGGAGATTTCTACCACCCAGAGGGCAGTTCAGAGGAAGGATTCACCACAGGTGACTGGATTACTCTCCTGAAGAGGCCCTCTCACCCTGCTGATTACACAGGAAACCAACAGCATCCAACTTCCTACTTTATTGTATAACCAGAACAAAAAAAATGGCAATGTCAGGAATAAAAACCAAATCAGGAGAAGTATATAAACCTGTAGCATGCCAAACGTAAAATGAGGCACTTAAAGCCAAAATTAGAAGCCTTTACATGCCTGCTTATGTGGCAGCAATTTCTAGGCTTTGTCAAACTGTGCCTGTTGATGCATCAATGGGCATGTCTGGAACTGCTTCAGATTTGGTAGTGCTGGAAAGAGACAACACATGCCATGCCTCCTAATCCACATACAGAAACTAGATGTTCTAAGACATATTCTTTTCCTTTCGTCTCTTTCCATGTCAAGACCATTATTAATGATTTTAGTGGTTAAAACAATGGTTAAAAGGCCTGTTCTCATTTAAAAGCTGAGAATGAAAGTAAAACAACATTTTAAGCATTTATAGTTAAAAATTAACACTGTGATTGCAATAGATGCTGCACAGTAATAGAAGGAGAAAACTAATTCTCACCTGAGGCACTTGTACAATGTAATAAGATACAAAACTTGTTTTAGTTCAGAACAGCAGAAAAAGTTTAATCAGACTCAAGAAACTGGGGAATTGGTGATGTCAGCATTGATTCCATCACTGCAGCACAGGTTTGAAGCTTCTAGTGGAACTAAGGAAAACAAAGATTATGTTAATAATTTTGTTAACTTTTTTTCTTTGTTCCTAAGAGGCATTAAAAAAGCACCACAAAATTGTGTTAACAGAGTCAACAAAAATTGTGTTCATCTGGAGAGTTACAGGTAGGTTGAAACTGATATCATTCCTTTTTTTTTTTTTAAATAAATGTCCAGCTACTAAAGAAATGCAGACTGGTCTGAATAAGTGTCTAGAAGTAGCACATCAAAAGATGCACATATAACAATGCTGTTGTAAAGACTGACCAATAATCACAGCCTACATTAATTCCACTAAGTACACACAAATAATATTCCTTGGCTTTATTTTTAAGGCACCATTTGGAAAGTTATGTGCACTAATCCTGTAACAGTAATGGGATTTGTGTTTCCAACACAAGGGTCCCATGCAGCAGTCAAAGTAATCCCTGGCTTCTGAGAAAGAAGAACAACTTTGCAAAAATGTTGTCACCGTGCTAAAAATACATCCTGTATCCTGGGGAATCCTCATACAAACATTCTCTTTCTGGCTGAGGGATGTAAGATCACAAGGAAATGGAGGAGAAAGAGCAGTTATTGAAAGAACCCAAGTCTGCTTCTTAGCTGGCTGAAAATCCCCAGTGTCCCCATCTTCCCACAAAAGGGTTATCATAGAATGATTTGATTTGGAAGGGACATTTAAAGGTCATCTAGTCCAACAGCAGGGACATCTTCAACCAGATCAGGTTGCTCAAAGCCCTGTCCAGCCTGACCTTGAATGTTTCCAGGAATGAGGCATCCACCACCTCCCTGGGAAATCTGTGCCACTGTGTCACCACCCTTATCAGGAAAAATTTCTTCCTTATATCTAGTCTGAATCTACCCTCTTTTAGTGTAAATTTTTACTCCTTGTCCTATTGCAACAGATCCTACTAAAAAAAAACAAAACACAACCCCTGGGAAATGAGTGGTCACTTTGAGTACTTCATGATTTAAACTGATAAGGTAAATATGCTAGTGTACTGTCCTGTTACCTGACAGGGCAGATTGGTGTCTGTAATCCTTCAGTTCCTATTTACAGAGAGTAGGACCTTTGGAATTTTTCAGAACTGGCATTTTTCCTCTTCTCCCTAGAACAAGAGTTGCATGTAAATCTTACATGTGAATAGGAAGTTAAGTGAAATTCAGTAATTCGTATAGGGAAGTAGCAAATGCAATCTGAAAAGTTTCAACCTGGGTATTTTTATTCAAAATTCCTGTTGAGTTCAGAAGGATGAAAGTTGTGGGTCTTTTTCACAACAGAAAAACAATCCCCTGTGTTAAATATCTGTTGGAATGAATGGGTGTTGCTGGCTTTTTGTATCATACTGAAAGTTGTCAATTTGTGAGGATATTGTTTTCCACTCTTGTGGTTGAGAGCAGGGTTATTGGTCATAATTATTACTTGTGACGCCTCTTTTAAAGAAGGACATACTTAAAAACTCTATCCAGGATAGCAGTATCTAAAGATTGTGGTCACACACATCAGCATTGTTGTGAGTCTGAATAAAACTGCAACAGTATTGTTGGGTTTAGGATTAGAGTTAGGAGTAGGGGTAGGAGTTGGGGTTAGGTTTCCAAGTTGGAAGGGGTTTTTTTGGAAAAAGAAACATTGTTACGCACTGATGAGGTTTTAAAAAAATGAGGAAATCGTTTTTTTCAGGAAATGGCCAAGAGGTGGCAGCACTCCCTGAAATGCTAAGTGCCTCGAGTTCTCAGAGCTGTCCAGTGCTCATTCCCAAGGGCTCGACAGCCACTTTTCTTCAAATACACCCAAGGAGATGGTGTCCATAGAAAATCAATCCTGTTTTGGCTACAATTGGCTTTTCTGGAAATACACAAGACTCCATAAAATCAAATCTTTTACTACATCTGAATATACTTGTTTGACACTGGCACTCTGAGTTGCTGGTTCTGTATCTTGCTGTAGTCCCACATGGTATGTTGCTGTATCACTGAAGTCAGACACATATGCTTGGGGCTTAATTGGCATCTGTCTGGATCCATAGGAAAATTTAACAAGCCTAAGGCTTGCTTGATCCTTCTACTTAAGAAAAATCCAGGATACAGCTCATGTAAAATCATCTTGCATTTAGAAAAGTCTCTGCAGGGAACGATTCGAACAGGTTGATTCTTTACACCTAGAGAAGTCACACCATAATGGAAATACACCTGCAGGTGTTAAGATGGCAGTAGCTGTGTTTTATTTTCTGTGGCCATTATCCTCCTACAACTTCCAGACAGAGTCCTGCCGATTATGGATCCCTTTCTCATGCTTGAAAAAAACTGAAGGATCCTTCCTATCAGCAGTGGGTGGTAATACATATGGTAATACTTCAGTTCTAAATGTACATGATACAGTTAATAGTTCCTGCAGAGCCAGGATTGTATCTGTGGCTCTCGATTTTGCTGTGCTCTGTCACAGCGTGCACAGTCTGGCTCTGAGGTTAATTGTGCCTCTGTTGCCTTTTCTCTGGTCCCTTTTGCTTTGGCCTCCTCACAGGGTTGGTTCTGCAGTATCCTTGTGGTTGTCTTCCTTTAATGGAAATATTCCCTTCCCCGTGGCCAGGAGTGATGCTTCTTTTTCCAAGGGAAAGACCAGAAGAGTGCTGAGCAACCACACATTCGGTGAGAACATCTGTGTGTCCTAGAAGGCAGTTGGGGATGATAAGCAGTTCAGTGAGGGGCCAGAGGGGCAGGGAAAAAACTCCCCCATCTGAGAAAATGCTGTGTATTGATCTTAGCCCAAAAAGCACATTCTTAGCTATATCTCCTCATGTGTTACTAACAGTGTTACAAAAGACACAGATGCTATTCTCCACTACTGCTGCCTGTCATGGTGCAGAGCATTGCTTTAGTTACTAATAAGGTGGGCTTCTCTTACTGAGAACTGCAGTTCTTTTCATGTATAGCCTTTATGCACAGAAAATGTAGAAGGTGACAAGACTGACTTTGAAAAGCTGTGAAATGCAGCTGTTTGGGCAAATGTTACAGCCAACAGTAACTGATCCATTGGTTATTATCTTCAGTCAGAGGGAGGCTTTCTTCTTTTTCTGAGGTTTAGTGGCTTGCCACTACTGAAAGGGTCAGTTCAGTTTCCCCTTTCTCCTGGCCACGCATTCCTGTTGCTTCTCTGATGCTGGCCTGTGTTTGTTTGATTCGACTATAATCCAGTTCCACTCACTAAACCAGAGAAAACTAATCCTGCAAAAATTGGACCAGTTCTCTGTGATTTCGTGGCAGCTGGATCACCTCTCACAGGGCTCAGACGAGTGCTGCAAGTGGTACAAGAAAGAAGGGAGTTAATGAAGGAAGCAGAATGGGTGGCAGAATGATGTTACATTGGCTCAGGAAAGCAAAAGAAGGGTCACTAGTAAAGTTTATTTTGCAATAATAGGTAATTAATAAGCACCAAGGTATGCTGCCAGTGAAGTAACTGAACTTGGTGCTGTCTGAAATGTGTATACATGTGCTAAATGTGCAGGCTTGGGAGACACTGGTTTTCCCAAGAAAGCCAACTTAGGAAACTGTCTCCTTCTCTCAGTACCTTGTTTCCATATATCCTGTGTTTAAATTGTCTGCCTCCTCAGTTCTGCCAGTATGGTATTATTTAGGAAGCACTGTAAACTGGATCACTGAAATGATCCACTTAACGATCCACTTAAAAATCCACTCTGTGGCTGGGAATGAAAGGCAGGAAAGAAAAGCAGGATCTTACCCTCTTGGTGGTATTAAGCTCTTATTTTGACTCAAGCCAAGCCAAATATTTTCACCTTTTTGTGCATCTCAAAATGTTTCACTGATGAAGTAGACTAGGTCCATTAATGGCTGTACTAAACCTGAAGGCCTATAATGCTATTTTTCCATATTTTTTCCCATTTTCCCCATTATGCATTAACACAGTGTTTTGTTGGTATGATAAGTGTATATTTATTTATTTCTAACATCATGAAGTGTTCTGAGCTCTGTTATTGGTGTGCTGGGGCAGCAGCCACCCTCCTTTTACAAAAAATGCCTACTCCAGTGTCAGGCTGCATCCCTGGGGCAGTTGCTCTGGGTATGTCTGCAGCCTAAATAGAGAGGCAGCTGTTGTCACCAGCCATTATTTTCGACCTGACATTATCTCTTTAATTTCTGGCTCTCTAGTATGGAAAATCCCAGAAATTTATAACCTCTACACCATATTTATCCAGCTTATGAGGTGTCAAGAAAAAGCTCTTTCTTGAATTCCCACTGTGACAAAGGGAGATCAGTCACCTATCCTAAGTTTAAAAGAGCCTAAAAATGGTATTCTTAAACCTTTTGTTGAACTCCAGTAGGCATGAACCCTTCTGATAATCAAACAAAAGCAAATTCAAATTAGGGAGAAATATTGCTTCTTGTCAATTGTCATAACTGTAGATGTTTGATAACTGCGTGTTGGATTCTGTAAGAGTTTGATGCTGATGTACCTTTAAAATGAGGTACTCCATAAGGCATTTTGAAATTATTATAACTTAAGATTAGCTTCATCAATGACACATTAAGAACACTTGAATGTATTATTTCTATCTAACTGCACTATTTCGAAATGTTACAACTATGTCATTTTCTTAAATGTCTGCCATCCTCTGACTATCAACAGTGAAAAGTCTATTATCAAATATTTAACAAAACATGGAGAATTCAAAGGAAAATCTACATGGAGAGCAGTGATTAACGCTGCAGATGGTCCCAGTTTGATCCTCTTATACATGACAGTGTAGAATTTGCAATCTTTTTCTGAACAAACAGACAGAAATGCTCATCTGCTTTTCTGAATTGGTGTAGGGAAGTATCTTCAAAGCTGTATGGCCATTTTTTATGCTTGGTAGAGTTTCCCCTTGCCTGTGCTTGGAGGCACGTAGATAGTTGGGAAATCACTCTGTGATGATTCTTCTGAATTATGTGCAGCCAAAGTCGGATGCAGAACTGATGAAAGAGCAGAGGATGTTTTAGCAGCCCTGCTTTGAGCCATGCTTACAAGTAAGTAATATTAATCCCTTCAGAGCCATCTACAACCAAATTATTAAAGCTGGTTCTTGAAGAAACTTAGGCTACAGTGCTTAATAAAAATGTCATGTTCCTTG